GAGGGAAGGGAGCTGGAGGTGGGAGAAAGGTCAGATGGGGCTGAGGGTGGAGGAGGGACAGGGAGGGGAGTTGAGGGTGGGGTGAAGTGAGGGTGGGTGAGGGTTAGAAATGCGATGGGGTACGTGGTTTAGAGGTGAAGATGGGGTAAAGGTAGAGACGAGGGTAGGGTGGGGGTAGGATGAGTTGAGAGCGGAGTTGGGGTGTAGGTGGGGCCAGGGTGTGTTTCACTGGCTCAGGCATCCGGCAGCAATGGCTGAAGAACCACACTGCTAAGCCCTGTTGAAGAGTACTGGGAACCCACAATACCTCTCATAGCAACATAGGCAACTTAAACGAAAAAGGAAGCCACGTCCTCTACAATAAGGGAGTAAACGGATCATGTCAATCCACGCACTGGCTATAGGCAACCATTAAAGTCATGCTTTAAAAATGTTTAATGATTAAGGGTGGTGCCTCTGCCACCAGCACATCCAGACCTCCCCGGGTGATCTCTGTCTGAGATGCAGGAGGACAGAGAGGTGGCCAGACAGGCACACTTGAGTCATGAATACGAAAGGTGGCTAACCAGCCGTCTCCTAGGGAGGTGGGCAATGAGAGCCTCACACCTTGCTGTGTGGGAAGGTGATTTGTCAGGTGCGATTACTGTGACAGATAGCCACCATCTGGTCCTACATTCCCACTTCTAGACGAATGCTCGGCCCAGCGGTGGGCGCCGGCCCTCCAGGAGATGCACACACAGATGTTGTGAGCCGCACCGTTTCTATCAGCTCCAACTAGAAACATCCCAGACGCCCACCAGAGCGACGGATCAGCTGCGCTGTCTCCACATAGTGTCAAGCTACTCAGCAATGGGGAAGCACAAGCAATAGTCCCACAAGCCGGAAGGCAGGCCAAAGAAACTGTCCATATCAGTGTACGATGAGGGCCAGTGGGATGGCTCAGTGGATAAAGGGGCCTGTAGCCAAGCCTGCTGACCTAAGTACCATTCCTGGGACCCAGTCAACAGAAGGCCACACTCAACTCCTGCAAGTTGTCCTTTGACTTCTACAGGACTTGCAAACACACACCCCAACACACAGAAATAAATACATGGTTTTTAAAAGTGTATATTGTTCACTCCATGTATACAATGAAGGCAAACTGCAGCATCAGTGTTGGCTAGGGTGTGCGATACATGCATGCAAGGAGAGACCCTTTGGGGTGGGCCTGCTCTGTATACCCACCTCACCGACAGTCCCCTGCTGGGCACTTGGTGATCATTTGCTGAGTGTTATAGGGAGGTCATACCCCCGGCAGCTGTGACAAACTTGACAGTGTCAAAGCAGAGACCAAGCTTTGTCTCAGCAGAAGCTTCAGGAAGAGTGGAGGCTAAGCATGTTTTAGTTTTCTACTGCCGTGTAACATATGAGGCCAGCTGGCCAGGGGTCAGAAGGAGAAAACTGAGCCCTGTAAGTTGTCCTGTCACTTCCGGTTTCCACGGCAGGTGTGCACACACACTAGATAATTTTTTTTTAAATGATGCTAAGGAATTTCAGTGACCCCTCAGTAGAGAGCATGCTTGTTCAGCGTGGCTATTGCCCTCATTCCCTGAGCTTTTTGACTTCAGGCAGGCCCTGCAGCCTAGGGGTTCCTCTTCCTGTTCCAGTCTGGGTCTGTCTTTACACTGGTTTCGCCATTGGAATAGGATCCAACCCTTTGTCACACCCAACTATAAGAACAGCCATCAACTTTTAATCAGCGCACTTAGAAGGGCTGCAATTTTCATGGGCCAATCTTTTGGCTGAGAGTTCATTTGCACATAAACATTTTTTTTTTCTTCAGAGAGTAACCATCCTTCTGCGCAAGGCTCCACTTCCTTCTGTGTTCTGTTTGACCATGCAGTATGTTTTATCTGCCAGTGTCATTCTTGGTTGTCAACCTGACTACCTCTCAGACTAACTGCAAACCCAAACAGCTGGAGGCATTTTTCCTAATGAAATCATTTCAAGTGGGAAGACCCACCTTTAATCCAGATCTTTTGAGGTGGGAAGCTCCACCTAAAACCTGGACACCTTCTACTGGTAGCCTATATGAAAGATACAGAAGAGGGACACTTGCTCTGTTTACCTGCTTGTCCTAGCTCTCACTGACAAGTCCATCCATTCACTGGTATTAGAGTCTTCTTCAGGATACTGGTGTATACTCAAGACCAGCTGAGACATCCAGCCTCATGGACTACCGGATCCTCAGCATTTCTTTTGGTAGACAGCTGGACTGTTGGACAAGCTGGACTATACCACGTAAGCCACTGTAATAAATCAGCCCCCATCAGTTCTGTCCCTCTACAGAACTCTAATACAGATACCGTATTAAGGTCGGAATCTTTGCAGCATGGTTGGCATCAGACAGTATGATGCCTCCAGTTTTGCTTTCAGCTCACTGGGCGGGCTGAGTTTTACATTCCATATATTCTCAGGGTGTTTTCTTTCTGCCAGCTCTGAGGTTGGGACTGTGGCAGGGGATTTACTGCAGTGTGTAAATGAAGACATTGACAATCTTGACTCTTCAGGCCATGGACACAAGGCATCTTTTGGTGTAGCCATGGCCTTCATCAATTATTTTTCATCAATGCTTTAGCCTTTAGGATAATAGCTTTCTTACCTTCTTGGTTACATTTATTACTATTTTATGTTGTATTTTACTTTATTGTAACCATTGTAAATGGGGTAGTTCTCTTGATTTCTTCCTCTGAGTTTACTCCTCTTACAGCAAATGCTGACTTTAATTTGTTTACCAGTTGTAAGTTCTCTCTTTTGGTAGAATCTGTTGTCATGCCAACAGCAAATAGGGACAGGTTAATTTCTTCTCTCTGCCTTGTTTTTAACTTCTCTCATCACCTTGTCCAGGAAGGACTTCCAGGAGTAGGCTGAGTACCTTGAGTGTTGTGCTGAGTACTTCCAGTGTTGTACTGAGTACAAGTGGCAAGAGGGGTTAGCCTTCCTTGTCTCAGTCCAGGCCTTAAAAGAAAAGGTTCCTTTACTCTGCTGTGGGGTAAAGTGTTGGGTGTGGGCTCCTCACAAAGAGCCTTCACCCTGAAGAGGTCTATCCCTCTACTCTGAAAATAATTCCTCTATAACCAGTTTGAATAAATTTGACTTGTTTTGTTTTGTTTTTCAACACAGTTTCTCCATGTGGCCTTGGCTATCCTGGAACTCTATCCTGGAACTCACTCTGTAGATCAGGCTGGCCTCCAACTCAGAGATCTGCCTGACTCCACCTCCGAGTGCTGGGATTAAAGGTGTGAGCCACCACCATCCAGCTTGGAATGTTTTTAATTATGAAAGAAGACTGAATTTGTCAACTGCTCTTCCTGCATGGGTCACACGGCTTTTTCACTCTGTTAATCTAGCATAGCACATTTACTGGTATGCTGAAGTTGAGCCAACTTTGCATGCAGGAAACAAATCCTACTCAGTCCTCAGGGACTGTATTTCCATGTTATGAATTCATGGACCTCTCAGGATTTTCCTCGGCACCTTTGTCTTTTTTTTTTTTTTTTCCAAGGACCCTGACCTGTAATTTAATTGTCTTATGATGTTTGTGTCTGGTTTTGGTACCAAGGAGACTGAATGCTGGCCTTCTAAATGGAGTTTGGAAATGTTCCCTCCTTTTTCAGTGTTTATAAGAAATGTAAAAAAGACTGGTGTTAGCTCTTGAAATACTCAGAAGAATCCAGCAATAAAGCCACCTGGCCCCACACTTTCCTCTGATGGAGACATTAACCAGTTTCAGTCTGTCAATGAAATGGACTCAGGCTCATTCATCTGTGTGCCTCTGGAGCTACCTCCTGCTAAGCATCTCCCACACTAGGAGCTGCAGAGTGGGTATGGAAGGCCTCCAAGTCAGATGGGGGCAAACATGTGTGGCCCAGTGTGAACTGAATGTCACACCGGAGGGAAGATTGTCTGGGGTGAAAGATGAGTGAGCCACTGCTGAGAAGGAAGGGGAGGGAGGCTCCAGAAGGGGCCTGCATTCAGGCCTTCCCTTCCTGCAGGCAGACCCCTGGGGTTGCCCTGAGCTGCTGGCCAAGGGTGGCACAAACCTGGAGGCCATGTGGCCGCACCTGAGATGGGGCCTCTTTTTCTGCAGCTCATCTCCACGCTCCCATGGAAGACTTGCGTGATTGGCTCCCACATGATCAAGTCATCCCAGGACAACCCTCCCTCCTCCAACACAGCTGCCCGTGGCAGAGGTCTGACTGCCCCATGGAGTCGCTTCCAGCATTGAACAGCAGGAGAGCTAGGTAGACAGGGTCTTTTCTTTGGATTGGGTGTCCTGGGTACCACTCAGGGTGGGGCTTGTCTAGGAACCCTGGGCCACGGGCACCCGTGCCAGGCAGGGAAGGCCTCAAGCAGGGGTTGAGCAGCATTCTTGGAGTCCTTCACCTGTCTGCTGGAGGTCGTCTTATACAGGGTAGGGTGACATGCCCTGAGTTCCTGGGGGTATGCAGGAGGGGCCCAGATCCCAGGGCCAACCTAGTAAGGCTTTTTACAACAGGGACTTAGAATTGCCTCTTGTCCAGAGCCTGGCAGAGGGTCTGGTGGCCTGGCACTTATTTTGCTGGCTCCTGGGAATATCCAGAATGGACTTTAGAGGATCAGATCCAGGTCTGTTTCCCACCCCAATTCCCAGCAAGTGGCTTCCCCATGTCACCTGGACAAGGTACTCCTTCCTCTTTCTGAGGTCCCAAGCATGTCAGCAAGACCACAGTACTGCTGTGACCAAGGCAAGGCCTAAAGCACAAGGGCCAGTGTTGGGACAGACCTGAGCCTTGAAGAGTGAGCCAAGACCACAGGGCTGGCAAGGCGGCTCAATGGGTAAAGAAACTTGCCACCAAGCTTGACATCTTGAGTTTGATTCCTGATACAAGTTGTGCTCTGACCTTTACACTTGGGCTATGACACAGGTGCACAAACCCTCTCCCCCAAATAAATACAATAAAAAAAATGTAAAAACCATGGGCCTTATGAAGTGTCTTTATTTCATGTTTCCAACACATCACATTCAAAGCACACATCCTGCCTGGCTCAGCTCATGGCTCAGATGCAAGACCGTTGCCAGCATCCCTTACACCCAGTCAAGCATTTGCACACATGAAAATACATTCAGGGCTCAAGTTAACCCCATGGGTCCTTGTCATCCTATATATTAAAAAACAAAACAAAACACGGTGGGGCAGATCTTTATGACCCTGCCCTTCTTGCTGAGGGATGATCAGCACCATGGAAGGGTCAGGAAGGATGGCGCTTCCCCACAGAGCCACACTGAGGCAGCTTTCCTCACAACTGGGTGTCCTTCACCCAGGACAGGCACTGGTTTGAGGGATCATGTTCCCCTGCTGATCCTGAACATGGACTGCCTGCACAGCCCTCTGATGTCATGCCCCATCTGACCCAAGAAGATCTGAACAGAAGCAGGCACACGTCTTCCCTGTGTCTTTCCTACAGCCTCGGGCAGTGTCCTAGTGCCTGGGCAGTGGTGTGCTGCTCCTGAAGAAGGGACAGGTCAGAGAGTGGGCCCCAGTGGGTAACTGAGGGCAGGAGCTTGCTCTAGGAGTCTGAGACTCTTGCCCTACAGGTAGACTGGTGGTCCTTGGGAATCCCACCTCACAGAGACCAGGCGGCCTGGGGCAGACCTGGAAGCGCCTGTGAGAAGCCAGTCTGAGGGCCCTGGAGTAGCCCAGTAACATGGGGCAAAGGCTCCAAACCAGCAGATCTGGAAAGGGGCAGTATGGCATGAAGGGACCCCAGGCCAGGAGCCCCTGGCTATTCCTATCCATGGAGTGGTGGGAAGAGGCTCCATGTACAATGCTGGGACTGCAGAACCACTCATTCCTATCCTATCATGGCCAAGTGTGGGCCCGTGAGACAGTCTCTGGGGCCCTGACTGACAATAACCCCAGCCTACCTGGGAGTTCTTTGACCCCTCTCCCTGCAAGGACAAGGAGTAGGGTAATTAAAGACAGAAAGTAAGGTGACTGTGAGAAGTCTCAGCCTGCCCTGGCCTCTCCTTGTTCCGCAGCCTCCCATGACCCAACTCCTGATCTAGCCGGGTTTAAATCAGGTCAAGCCTAAACATGGCGACCATTAGAGGCTCTGTGTGCAGAAATCCTACCTTAGTCCAAAGCATGCTCAGCATTTTGTCTGGACTTTATTCTTTCACGACAGAATGGATTTGTGCATTTCACAGCAGGCCTGAGATGGCTGCCCACCTCTGCCTGGCACCCATACAGCAGGCCTCTCTGAGGGAAACTTCCTCTTGGCTGTCTGAGCTGAGGGCCCAAGGAAGGGCATTTGGCAAGGAAGGGCCAGGGTGAGGAACACTCCTGGTCACACTGAGCTTCTGAAGCTAAGATTCTCTCCTGGGCTCTCTTTGGTATCTCATCAAAGTGAGGCTGCCTATCCTGCTAGTCCTGGACCATGCCAGGGCCCATTCTGCTAGGCAACACTAGGGAAGGACCAGGCCAGAGGCCAGCGACTGCTCAGGCAGGGAGGGGATGATGTTCCCAGGGTGAGGCCACTGCCATGGGCCCCAAGCTCACTTCTTGTAGTGATTGGGGGCATCTGCGAAGGCAAACTTGAGGCGATAGGCCTCGGCCAGCAGCAGGCTGACGTCCTGGTCATCCCAGCTGGCAGTAGGCAGGTTCTGGAGGAAGAGCAGCAACTCCTGGGGGAAGAGACAGACAGTTAGGGAGAGCCCAGGGCTGGAGGCCTGGTCCCAGCAGCACACACATGGGAGAACTCAGTCATAGTAAGAGAGAAGCAGGGGCAGTACCCTCAGCTGTTGTGGTCCTACCCACTCACTCATCCTTGAACCCCACCCAGCCAGACTCTGGCTTTTACAGTCTTATCTGCCACCCAGCTCAGCTTCTGAGAAGCCACTGTGGGTCTTCCCAGCACTGCAGTTGTGATCCCTTTATCAGTAGTTTATCAGGCCCCCTTTTCAGCTGTGAAACCCTTGATACTCCAGGAGACAGCAGCAGTCATCCTTGTGGCCAGAGGTCTTTCATGGGCCAGACTGCAGGAGAATTCTGAGAATCCAAAGATTCCCTGAGACCAGAGAGCAACACAGTCAGAGGCACACACTTCCTTGTATATCAGGTGACCACCTCAGGTCTCAGCAATGTGCTACCACAAGGCAGAGTGAGCATAGAGGCCCCACAACAAGGCCACCTCTGTCCCATATTCCTCCCAAAGACCAAAGGTAACAAGTTCTGACAAAGAGGGACTGGGCAGCAAGATGCCCAACTGAGCACCTAGAGACAATCATCCATGTTACCTAGAAGCCCAGGAACCTCCTTTGGTCTGCCAGCCAATGGAATGATACATGGACCATGTCCAGCACCAGAGAGGCACAAAATGAACACACTAGACACTGCATGCAGTGGGCACATGGCAGACACACACTGAACATAGCAGGCATGTACCGAACACACTGAACATGGACTGCATACAGTGGGCACACAGTAGACACCCAATACACTCACTGGACACACACTGACATGTACTGCACATAGTATTCACACAGTGGGCACAAACTGAGTGCAGGCTGAGTACACACTGGGCAGCTGTTGCCACTGTCATTCAGTTCTGACATCAAGGATGAAAAGCTCTGCTTTGGGATTTCCATGCTACATCTCCTTTGCTTCATCCAAACCCCAAGTCTGTACTGGGCCATTACTCAGAGTGGGGGTTTGGGGGCATCCCCACATCCCAGGGATGTCTGAGAGTGAAGAGCTTGGAACTAAAGACAGACACTACTGAGACAGCCAGTTACTAACAACAAATGATGCCAGCAATAGGGAAAAAAAATCGCAAGGTCTTGGGGGCAATACAGTAAGTAACACGCAAGTGACCCCCACACATCATGGCCTCAACAGCTTGGCCTGTCCTATCAGATGACAGCTCACATACAGAGTCTCTGGGAACTTCATCAAGGACAGGGCGGGGCCTGGGAGACTGCAATACTCGGAGGATCAAGCAGACAGTGGCCTTGGAGGTCTATGTGGTTATGACACATTTGCACAGAGGAGTCTCCAAAGAGGAGTGGCTGGGAATGGCAGGCCACCCCTGCCAGGGAGCAGCACACTCCTTCCCAATGGTTCTTCAGACTTTAGTTCTACAGGACTTGGGCCCTGAAGCCATCCTGCTCCAGCTCCAGGCAGCTGACAAGAGACACAGAACAGCTGGCCTCAAAAGAGCACAGCTTAGCAGGGCCTGGTTCCCAGACCCTGACCCACCAAGATTCTAGATAGCTACTTAGATAGCCTGAGCTGCCCATTAATGTGGACAGCATGGTTGGGATGGGTAGAACCAGGAGAGGCCATAGTAGTCCTCAGGACAGTAGCACAGGCCTGGCTCTGCCCCATCATGCCCAACCAAGTTAAGAGGGAACCTCCAGCAGCCCCAGGGCTGTACAGCCCAATCACGAGAGCCAGGACGTTCTCTAATCGCCATTTACTGTTGCTCCCCCGCCTCTATTTCCTTTGCATTTTGGATACCTTCTGTGGGCCTTTAAATTGAATTCATGGAGCAGGTCTCCCTGGCAGCATGTCCTCGGGGACACATCAACATCAATCTACTGTCTTCCACCATTAGATGCAACTTACACGGATGCCAATCCAATTCTGAGCAGGTCATAAATAAATACCTTTGGTTTTATTTTTAATCCACTTCGCTTCATATTATCATGACCTCGCTACTTGCAAGGTGAGAAGCAATACCCTCCCATTATGGTAACTTACCGACTCCACTGCACACTCAATTTCAGAATCTAATTTAGTCCCCCAAGTTCACTGGATGGAGGGAGAATGGAAATGCCCGGCTCTTCACGGCCTGCAATGCTAAAGAAGGAAAAATCTATCCAGGTGACCTTTAAGGCAGGCAAAGAACACAGACAAACATGGCCTTAAATACAGATTTCTTCTTTTAAAAAGGCTTGTCTTCCTGCTGCAGCAGGCAGGAGTGTTTCCCATCTGGGGAACATGGTGCATTTATTAGAGACTGTTGTCCGTCACCAACTTGGTAGAGGAGGCAATCAGTAACTCGCGAAGCCATCGCTGGCGGTGAGCGTGCAGTGGGGGGTTATACACCTGTCTTTCTCAGCTAGGCCTGTCTTTCATTGAACAAAGGAGGCCCCTGTGTAGTCTGTGGTCCGTGAGGAACCAAAAGTGATAGAACCCACTGCATGTCCTGTGGGTCAGTGCTTCTCAGCTCTGAGCATTTGCTCAGAGACATGGTCACTTGAAGAGCTCTAGATGCTTACTAATGCCCATGACCCAGCCCAGGCAGACATCCCGGATGAGTGGGATTAGGGCCTCAAAGGTGGCCTTTGGCCATGTTCTAGACACTATGGTTCTCTAACAGGACAATATAGGTCCAGACAGTCCATTCTACAGAGCAGCCTGGTCAGGGTGTACACTGAGAGCAGGGTACACCACCCCTCCCCTCAGGCACTGGCACTTTGGAAGATGCCGGGCCAAGCCCTACAAGCCAGGCTGCTTCAGCCTGCTCCGTGTGAAGTGCTAAAGGATGCCCTCTTCAATAGCCCTGCTGCCGTATCTGGCCCTTGGGGAGGCTCCAAGAGACAAGGCTCCAGAGAAACTGGCTGTCTGCTGCTGGACAATGAGTTTATCTGTCTGGGGGTCAGTGCTTTGCAGTGCTGTGTGCACAGGGCGATCACTCCTGAACACAGGGCCCTTCAGGGAGGACAATGTGTGTACATACACACATGGGGGCCACAAGACAATCCTGGGTGCTGCTCTCAGGGGCTGTCTACCTCAGAGACCTGGAGTTCACTGTAGGATCAGGGTAGGCTGGCCAGCCAGCAGGCCCTAAGGATGTGCCTGTGTCCACCTCCCCGGGGTTAGGATTACAAGCACATACCACTGGACTTAGCCCTTTATACACGGGTTGTGAGGGTCCAACCCGGGTCCTCATCAGCACTTTATCAACTGAGCCATGTCCTCAACCATGAGGCAGGCTTAAGAAAACAATCAAGACCTGTTTGGCAGAATACTCAGAGATTGAGGATAGCAGCACCTTGCTTTCCTGCTGGAGTACTGGATGCAACAGGGATAAGGCAGGTTCTATGAAAATGAACTGCCATTAAGGGCTGTGATGTTGCCGTGGGTTGGAATCCACCACCCCAGGGAGCCACTGTGCCTGCACACCGCCACTCTTACGAGCCGGCTACCCTGCATGCTTGCACCCCCGTTGCTGCTCCTGAGGCCACAGAGAGACAGAAGGTAGTGCCCTTCATACCACTAACCTGCCTTTCACATTCCAACCTAATGCAAAATGAATTAAAAACATTTCCAAAGGGCTGACCAGGGCACGAGTGGCCAAGTAAACAAAACAAAGCTCTTCCACCCCCACCCCTGCCTCTGTCCTGGGAAAACCCCAGCCAACCTTCAGGGTAGGTGCACTCTGGCTGACTAAAGGCAGTGTTCTGTAAAGTATTCTTGCACACAGCCTACCTTGGCCTGATGGCAGTTCACATAACTCTTCTAGTGGATGATATACACCTGAGTTGGGTGAGGAACACCACTGCCTGCCAGCACTAGGGTCATAGACACCAAGCTCCAAGACACAAGGCTTCTTATACAAAAGGCAAAATGTGCCCGGCCCTGAGAGGTACCATCAATGTGGCCTTGTCCTGCACCCTGCAGAAATGTGTTGGTGACAGCTGTCATGGCATGACCAGAACCCACTGGACTCTAGTAGTCAGGGTACATTAGGATTCTCTGGAGAGGGAAACAGAGGGTAAAGAATATGCAGGATAGACCCAGTTTCTGCTTCAGGACTGTGGTGAAATGCAGGAGGCCATGGGCTGAGCCAGTGACCGTGACCAGGCAGGGTTAGGATGTGGGGTACGGCACTGCAGCTTCCAGCTGGATGCTCCACATAAGAGTGGAAGAGAAAGGTATCAGTCCAGGACTCCCACGGCCACAAAGACCCATAAGAGCAAAGTGCTAAAACAATGGGACAGAGCTATGTGACCAGCCACATTGGCACACCTTGGCCTCCACGCTCTGGGACACTGCTGTCTGTGGATGGGGGTATGTTGGCAGTATGTGATTATGTTACCTTTCTATATGACCACATGGATTCACAGGCATGTCTGATTGACTCAGATGTGACTGGTGGTGACAGGGAATAAGGTGGGTTTTTTTTTTTTTTTTAACACCTGTCTGCTTTTCTAACCTTTTCAAAATAACATGCATTAGCAGAAGCTAAATAGAAGGTCTACTTTGAATCAAGGGATGGCCTGATTGCTAGATTTGTCATGTCCAAACTGGACCATTCTTGTTTATGCCCTCTAACAGTGTCCCTGTCTGGCTACAAGAGGCTCTCTATTTATAGGGGTGGGGAGAAAGCCTGGGCAGTGTCCTCCAGCTAACAGGATGAGAAGGCCAAATCATTCATTCACTGGGAATTTCCCAGGTGGACAGAGGTCTGTCCCTTACCCCTGGGCCAGCCCTGCAGTAACAGGAAGTAAAGAAATGAACAGAGATCATGTTTAGCAGAAGCCAATGTAACTTGTGACTGAGTCACAAGTGACTGAGTGACATGCCTGCCTGGATGCTATGGGCCACAGGACATCTGAAATGGGGTGATGTGTGCTGCTGCCAGAACCCATATGCATTTTGGATAATGGGTACAGAC